TTATGTAAAAAATATTTTTAAAATGTTGTACAAAATCATATTTTTCATCTAGTTCTGCCACTCAAATATATATATAAGCAGTTTTTTTTGCATTAATCTGTAACTATAACAAAACTTGATGTTAACTTGACAAATATTAGCCTAAAAGTTGGCCCAAGCTCTTGGCCGAATCCAAGTCCTAGTCTTTTGTTCCAGGGGCATTTATTGTATTTTATTTTAATTTCTGTGGTTTTCTTTTTCCTTTATTTTCTCTTACTTTTTTTTTGTTTTTGTTTTCAGGGTGTTTTTCTGTTGGAATTTCGCAAATGTATTTGCAGCTGTGTCTGTGCCCGGTTCCATCAGTCTGCGGCTAGTTGAATGATGTTGACATTTGCCACACTGCCCCACACAGCCGGCCATGGCACAACCGTTTCACACATGCCACATGTGAGCGGGCAGCGTAGAAGAAGAAGCAGCAGAAGCAAACACTTGCCACAAACGGCAGCAATGCACGCGTTTTGCGTTTCATCTGGCAGCTAATTATGAAGCATTTGCATTGCAAGCAACGCAAACAACAACAAATCCAATTAGTATGACTCACTAGAGCATCGAAGCTGACTGAGTGCTGCGTGCTGAGTATTAAATCAGACTCGACGCAGTCATTAAAGTTAGTGAAGGCAAATGCAGCCTGCAGCTACGAATTACAATTGTCGTAAATATATGTGAAATTAAGCAAAGTTTTAAGAGCAATTCGTATTTATAGACCAGCTGCTTATGTTTTGATTAGTGCAGGAGAGAGGGAGGAATAAGAAGAGAGAGAGAGAGAGTGGGAAATATATGATGAATAGCTTTTAGAATGGCGAAAGCAGCTTAAATTGTGCTGCGAATTGCTTATGGAATACGTGAGGTAATTTACAACTCATTCATACATTCACTCGGCTATTGCCAGCTGTTTGCATACTTTAATATGTATGTACAAGGAAGAGTAGTTAAAGTTATAATGTTATTTTTGTGGTTACGCTTATTGGGAGAGTGCCGGATCGAAAATGAATATATCTATTGCCCTCTGTCTAAGGCTTTGCGATAGAATCATATATATTCCTCTGAAGTATGATTCAATAAAGATGCTCCAGGTGATATAGCTATGCTCAACAAACTGATATCTAAATATTTCATTGACGGCTTTGCGGCGTAATAATGCTCTAAGATCAGTTACTTTTGATCATCAACCCTTAAAACGAAATCTAATTAGCCTAGTCAACGAACCGTTTTGATTCAGCTAGAACGACTTTTATGGCATACTCAGATATCTTAGTGATCTATGTTGACTTGATCTGACCTCCACTTTCTCTGGCTATCCTAAATGTAGTGGGGTATAATAGCGCATTCCGAAGAACCACATTGATCTGTGCTGAACTAATGGATGAGCTATAGCGATCTAAGCTACACTCAGACGAATGATACACAATTATTAAACCTGGGCTGATCGAAACTTCGATCATAACTCCGTTTTTTATTAAGCTTATCGTCATGTAAAATCTATATCTAATAGGAAAGTTTGTTATACAAGTAATTTGAATATATATTTTTTTCAATAACAAATCTCTATTTAGCATAGTTTTGCTTATGTCTCTGTAATAGATTGTACGATCTTGAATTCCATGTTAATGCTTGAGCACATTGTACTTAAGTGGAGCACACATCTCACAGCTTAAAAAGCCATGTTCCTCAACTAGTTATACAATTGCCAAACGAAAGTAAACAGATGCAATTGTTAATTAAAAAGAGCTCAAATATACAGCGGGACAACAACAGAGGCGAGCGGAATATACAATTAGTATATGCAATGCACAGAAGTAAGCAAGGCATGCGAGCAGAGGAGCCTTTCCTGGCTGACGCGCAAAAGCCACGTTTATAGTTGATGGACATACAAAGCCGTAAACGAAATATGAAGACGTGCCCCATAGAGAGAGAGAGAGAGAGAGAAAGAACGTGAGTGAGTGAGTGAGCTTCTCTTGTTGCAACGGCTGTAAGCAGTGGGAGTTGGTGTCCCCCCTCATTGTGACAGCTGCTCGCAGTGCAATTCATTAACCGTTTGCTGTACGGTTTCTCAAGTGGCGCCTTTGGCTTTTGACCCGCTGGGCAGGCCTGCGACTCGAGCCAAATGGCCGGCCATTAGCCAAGGCTGGAACACGTGTGCACAATGCGCTCGGTCGAACGGTCGCATTTATGACGGCCAAAACCAAAACCAAAACCGAAGGAAAATAGCAGATTTATGCAAAACCCAATTTTAATGAGGTGCCATAAATGGATGCAAAGCGCGTTTAGCTTTTATGGCAACCAGCAATAAGATTTTCAATATTCGCATTTGGCGTACCTGCTCGGGCAGGGATTACCTGAGAGCTGGGCTGCCCAGGTAGGGCGGCGGCACTCGCCGAGTTGGCAGCTTAAATAGACGAGACGCCGAGAGCTGGGCAACCAGTAGCCACACGACAGCCAAGCAAGCAAGAGCAACTTCAATCGATCATGGGCAGCACACACTCCGATACGCACAGCAGCAATGCGAGCATTCGCGTCAGCTATGCCGACTTGACGCCGAGTCAAGTCGGCTGCTGTCCGTCGCCGCGTCCACAGTGGTGCCAATTACTCGCCCAGCTGCAGCGCAAGCTGGCCAAGAAGCGTCAATGCGCCTTTCAGCGTGGCTGCGGGGCGCGCACAGCACTGCTGCGCCCCATGCCCAGATGCTCCTCATTTGGCAGCTGCAGCACGCTCCTGACTTCCAGCCAGCAACAGCAGAAGAAGAAGAGGAAGCAGCAGCAGGTGGACAACAACTACGYTCAGTGGAAATGCATGTTCGAGCATGCTGAAAGCAAGCGACTACTGCCCCAGGCGCTGCGTCCACACGACATTAGCGAAGCGCTCTCCGGCCAGACAACGCCTCGAGGCTTTCCCTCACACACGGACACACGCCGCTGCACGTTGGCCGAGCACCCCAAGCTGCTAGAGGAGGAACAAGAGCATGAGAAGGAGCTGGAGCAGCACACGCCCCTTTACGATGATTGCAAGGTGCGACGTCGCCTCAGTTTCCGCCTGCCCGGCAGCGGCAGCGCCAGCCAGAGTAGCGTGCGTCGTCTGTCCACACGTCAGAAGGCCGACCAGGCCAAGCTCGAACAGCAGCTGGAGCGAGAGCTACGTGATCTGGAGGAATACTACGGCGCCTTTCACTATGCACGGCGCAATGAGCGACGCATTTGACGAGCAAATAGTGATACAGCGAGAGAGAGGGAGAGAGAGAGATAAGAAGAGTTGACAAATGGAATCCGCAATGTGATAGCTTTTAATATATGTAGAATAGCTAACTTAGTTTTAAGTCAATTTGAATGAAATTCAGTCTAAAATAAAAGTAAAAGAAAAGCAAAATCAAGCCGATATATCAGTCAATCAAATACTATTAGCTGAAGGTCATTTGAAACTCAATGATGCAGCTGAAAAGAGTGAAATAGCCTAGAAATACGATATCTGCGGTCATTTGTATTTCTTGGCTGTTTATTGGGTTGGAATGCCAGCATAGGTGCATGTATAGAATATCAACAACATTCAAGCTCAGCATTATTAGTTGAAATAAGTAAAGTCTAGGCGAAGAGTTGTAGCCCTGGAAAGTGCGAGGTCTGTCTTCAATCAACCAATCAATCATTGGGTAAAGGAATAATAATATGTAGTTCATATAAGACAAGGGGTCAGTGGCCTTTAAGGTTCAGTGACGTAATAAAATAATTAATTTTCGCTAATGTGTTTAATCGATAACGAATAAACGGAATGAGTTATCGATTTTTTTTTAGATAAGCTCAATATCCGCACTGTATATACGGTAGTTAAAAAAGTCTCTAGCTCTCATATCTTCTGAGATCTACGCGTTCATACATATGGACGGTCAAATAGACGGGCAGGACTTAATCGATTCAGCTCGTCGCCCTGATCAAGAATATATATACTTTTACATTATATATACTTAAAAAAACCATACCTTTAAAAAACCAATATACCCTAATTTCCCAATTTAAATTCTAGAATACATCACAGAAATCAGTCTGTCAATCAAATCGATTGAAGCAAGCAAGGAATAATTTTAAATACATGCTAAAACATCGAGATTCAAATTACTCAATTAATGAAACACATTATCCATTATTCAAATCAATATCAAAGAGACAAAATGAAATGACAATTAGTCAATCAGTTCATCAAACGCAATATATGTATGTACATGCTGCCAAACAAATGCTTTGGGCTTTGAGACTCTGTCCGATAAATGTTTGATAGCTTAACTAAGCAGTCAATCAATCTATCCCAGTCAGTGGAAGAGATTACCATTCAACATGTGCGTGGCCATAGTGTAATCCTTTTGTTTTGCTGGCATGCTATTCATAAGCTAGAAATAGATATGCCAAATGAGTTCAAATTGTCTGATGTATGAAGACAAATTTAATTGCCAGCATGAATGGAATAGTAATTGGGTCCATTTGTGTAGCGAGCTATCAGTTTTAGAGTTAAGGCTGCCAACGCTCCTAAAGTGGGGCAGGGTCACTGGCAAATGCCACTGGCAATAAATCAGAGTCAATGTATTCGCTGCCAGCTTACAAAAAAAAAAAAAAAGAAAAAGAAAAATACATGAAAATGCTAGAAAAACTTAGCCAAAATGCAGCCAGAAATGCAACAGTTAAAAGAGCGAGAGCAAAATTGAGGGTGCAAGAGAGAGAGAGAGAGAGAGAGAGAGAGAGAAGGAGACAGTTGAGGAAGATTTTATGGGATTTTTTCTGGCTTAGCAATAAGTCAGAGCAACGCAAGGCAATGCTGTATACCCTGTAATAAAAGAGTGTTGTGCGGGCTGAATAATGGCATTTGTCAGTTAAACGTTAACGAATGAGGGAAATAAACAAAAATGGGGGAGGGATAAATAATATGTATATGATAGTATGAAAGTCTGTGCGAGGAGTTGGCACAAATACCCTGTAGTAGTTAGAGAGAGAGAGAGAGAGAGAGAGAGAGAAAACGGATAAGCAGGGTAGGTAGGGTAAGCAGGGCAGAGCTATGTTACGTTATAATTGACGCTTAAAGAGAGAGAAGGAGCGCAGGTAGATACATATATGATATGTGAGATATATATTTCTAGATATTTCATATAGCTAAAGAGATAAGAAGTCTGACTAAAAGATAGAAACATATTGAGGTAGACAATATGACATAGGCTTAGACATAAGGTGAGATATATCATCTACAGGTAGCTAGATCTGAGGACTAGAGAAGAGAATGAATAGGAGATCAAGGATATTTGCGAAACCGTTAGAAAGTTGTGTACGAGCATATGCAGGTAGAGGCAGGTAACTGGACAAAGAGATAGACTGTATTGATTGAATATATATGTAGAATAGGATAGGAATAGATTGAAGAAAGAGAAACAGAAAGAGAGAGAGAGATATATATATATATAAATATATAAATATAAAT